TATATCTCCTGTTTTACTGTATTATGTTTTTATATTTATTGTAAAACACACAAAATGTAAAATAAAAGGAATGAAATTAAAATATTTTGAAATAGGGGCTGGCGCCATGGCCTAGTGGTTAAGTTCAGCATGCTCCACTTCGGCAGCTGGGGTTCCCAGGTTCAGATCCCAGGCGCAGACCTAGACCACTCATCAGCCATGTTGTGGCAGCAACCCACATGCAAAACAGAGGAAGACTGACACAGATGTTAGCTCAGGGTGAATCTTCTACAGCAAAAAACAAAACAAGACAAAACAAATTTGAATATTCATTTTATACATTAATAGCACAAAATTTATCAATTTAATGTCTGATTGTAAGTTCAGTGTATTTTTTAGGGCCAGATTTGCTATGATACAAGTGTAAATCCATATTTTTAATACTCTGCCCTGAGATTTTGTCATCTCTTTTTAGATCAGCTTAGATCATCCTTGCATTCATATTGTAATCGACAAAGAACTCATTTTAGGAGCGGAAGACATGGATTTTCCATATTCTATGTGTTCACTTGGGCCTTGTTACATACTTTACGTCTGAGGCTGAGAATCTCCGTGTAAGGAGCAGAGTGGTCTTCTGGGATCATTGCCTTGGACCAGGTGAAAGCAAGGCCCTTCCCCAATTGTTCAAGCTCTTGAAGTAATTATTTACTTCATGAATACTTTAGCATTTTTCTCACTGTTTTATTGTTTAAACAACTGATTTCCAAAATTCTCTGATCACACACCTCGAACAACAAAAATGTTTGAGCACCTTCCACGGGGAAAATTATATTTTATTTACAGTTTATTTAACACACACACACGAGTGTGCATGTATTTTAAGTTTCCAGTTCTAACTTGTGTATGTTTGTTGAGGCCTGTATATTCTTTGTCCTCACATAGATCAGAGTGGATGTCTGCAGAAATACACCCCAACGGAAACAGTGTGAATGAGTCATGTCTCAAAAGTTCATACTGTGGGGATGATGCCCCTAGTAAACCTTTTGGGCAAAATTAAATGACTGATATGTAATCTTCAAAGAAGGGGTTTCTTCTATTAGGGTTTTGGGTATGTGTGTGGGGGTTAGGTCTGCGTTAGAAAATTTAATCAATCTTTATTTCACTTTCTCATCTAAAGATGTTTCTTTTGTTAAAGCATTAGGACTGTTTAATAATATTGTCTTATATTTGTGATCATTTATTTTTGTTTAATCCTCACAAACAGCCCATGAGGTAGGGCAGGTTGTTATTTTCATTTTATTGATGAGGAAATTCAGATACAAAGAGTTTAAAGTCGTAGTTTGTCATCTTTTACACAAATTCTTAATGATACCTAATTTCCAATGTAAAGTTATTTCAAGTCTCATAAAAAGTTATCCTTCAGGTACATCATTATAGAGTTATTTCAGTTGTTTCATAGAGTTTGTGTTAAATCTATTTTATTACAATTATTTAAAATCTGGTTACTCTACAGACCAGATTACTTGCAGATAATCTGAGTAATCAGAACCCTCCAACAACTGATCAAACCAGATGTCAAAATGCAGGCATGTCCACTTCTGCTTTTTCACATTGTGGTCTCATTATATGACCCCTTGACCAGCAACCATTTTTTAAAGATTCCTTACCTCTAGTACCGTGTTTCTCAGTGGGTGCTACTAGCATCTGGAGAGAGAATTCTCCTTTGTTCAGGGAGAACACCACTTATTGCAATGCCTTTGGCGTCCATTCCGACCCCCTGCCACTAAACACCAGTAGAGTCTTTCCCCAGTCATAATTTGAATGCTCCTAAGGGCATTAGAACCACTGAGCTGAGGAAAGACAGATGGATCTCCAATTCTGCAGCCAGTGACTTAGGTTAATTTACCTTAGACCAGCAGTCAAGAGCGTCTGTCGTCTGCTTGATTTCCATAAGTGTTTGAAATTATATTAGGGTAGGGTTGCCAGATTTAGCAAATAAAAATACAGGACGCCCAGTGATCTGGCAACTCAGTATTGGAGGCAATATAATGCTAAAGTCACATTCTGGTCTCTCTTTAACTCACCAACTCAGGATCGTTAATAAACTGGAATCTCAGGTATTTGAGATTTAGAAGAGTGTGTAAGTGACACATCTTACATTTCAAGCTTGTAATGGCTGGAGGGATGCTCTCCTCACATAAAAATCTAATTTTTATTAACAAATACTTAGTCTACTGAATGTAACTAAAACAAAATACTTGCGGAAATTTGTATTTCTCCTGCTACAGATATTAGACGTTATTTCTTCTTCAGCTACAATATAATTAATAAATTCCACAATTACTTAAAAAAAAAAGTCAGAGAGAATCAGCAACTTAAGCAATAGGGCAAAGCAGACTAAAATTATTTAATATCAAATCTCAAAATGTTCATGAACTTAATTTCTTGTGGATTAAGAGATAAGGGAATTATAAGCAGGAGTAATTTCAGTTTTCCTGATTGAATTGTGAAAATTTAGAGCCGTGGTGTTTTGTGCAATCTCATGGACGTGACTGACCTTAAGGGGAAGGATGATGAGGCATAATTATAGCATAACATGATATCTCAGCTGAATGGGTATTCGTGTACACCAGCTTTTCTGTTTGCTTCAGGTTCAAAAATGACACTTCCTTAACGAGGAGATGCCACAAGAGATGAAAGACCTTTTAATCCATGGTGAAGAAACATAACAAACCCATCATGAATGATGCAGCAAGTTTGGGGAAAAGAAAGCTGCTATTAAATATGACTGGCTGTCACAACAACAAAGATAGTAATCACTGTAATCGTAGCGATAAAATAATACTTGTATTTAGTTTCTTTCAAGGAGTTAAAATAATGGACATCTCTTCTAAGTTAAAGTTTTGAATAATGTTGGCAAAGATAGCCAAAACTCAGACAAAAATCTCTAAATGTGAAGCCTGTTAACGCTATTTAAAGTCATTGCTCGACCTGCTTTTGTTTTCTTCAGATTTCCTTTAAGATAGTTACATTTATATCCTTTTTCTTTCCTAAGCATGTCTATGTTATTCTTTTTCCTCATGATTTAGTATTCTTGAACCAGGCTTCCTATTATTTGGCTTCAGTAAATCCATAATCTGCTAAAATCAGATTATTTTTGTTTTTCATAGCAAATAAAAAAATTTACATTCTTGTGATTACCTTCCCTGTTGTAAAATCGCCATTTCTTTTGTGACTTTAAATAAGAATGCCCTGTAAATATTTGATATCATTATCCCCACCTGGTATTCGCTGACGCTCCTTTGTTATGAGTATTTTCTCGACAGTGAGGAAAGATTGCAGTGTGGAAAACGCGTGTGTGGGAAACGTTGCCCGTGGGCACACACCACCCTGTGCTCAGTGATAAATCTCCTGTGCAGGAACAAAGGAGAAATGAGTTTCCCCATTCCTGGAAAGTTACCTCGGAGCACTTTCTGGCCTAGCACTTGGGACTTTTGCCAGACTTCTTAATGTTTAAGGGACTCCAGCTCTGCTGGACAATCATCCTAAGCCCAGTAAAATCAACAACAAAACCAGTCTGTTCACAGTATATGATTTTCTTTCTGTGCTTTCCTGAATCTAATGCACGGTGTATGGGCCTCACCCATTAAAACATTCATTGTAGCTTTATTCTGTCATAAAGACACCTCCAAAGATCTTAGAAATGCTGGCTTTTCTTTATCAACAACTTTCTCCGTAGAATCAAGATAGAGAGTATGGTGCACCAGATCCCTTTAATCCTGGCCAACATTCAAAGAAGCTTCAAATTTTAACCTATTTTAGGTGCAAAATTTGTCAAGGAACAGAGTGAAGTCTCTTCAAAACTGCAGGACTTGCTAAATCTGAGGGTAGGAGGAGAGATCCCAGGTCTGTACACACGAAACCCGCTGGGCCCGATGGCGGCTTCAGAGGGCCCGAGTGAGATGTGTTCCTTACACCATCAGGGTACCTGGCTCTTAGGATGTTCTTGTGATTTAAACTTAGAGATGCCACATCAATTACCTGTGCTGCCCACACACTGATCGTGCCTGTGTATTGAATTTCCTTCCAAATGGTTGTAGTGTCTTTCAGGTCATTGAGACTCCAAATTGTAATGCTGCTTGTCCAAAGTGCAGGGTTTCTAATTTATATTCAGAGGATAGCAATCTCCCAAACAGGAAGTGGCTCATTATTTATTTTTAACCTATAGTAGGAAGATTTTGTCCTGGGAGTCTGCCATTTATGTGGTGTCCCTTCCCCACGCCACGCCTCAGTTTGCTGGCTTGTAAAATGAGGACGTTTTGACTGGATGATCTCTCAAGTCCTTTCCAGCACAGATATTCTTTTATTCTATGATTCATTATATAATTTTATGGATAAATTTCTGAGTAGTTTACTGTTTTTTATCTTTGCTTCACAATAGCCTTTTTAAAAATGATAAAGCATGTGGTTCTACCTTTGCAAACTCTCATGTCTTGTCCCTAATAGAAAAGTAAAACAAATTAAGAATTGTGTATGTTGATATGCCTACTATTATTTCAAAAACATGTAATTTCCATATGGTATAAAAGTGTTCATTTTCCGCACGAATAGTGATCCACCTGTGGTGAAGCACTGCCCTCCCAGTGTGGCCAAAATCTCACATCCTATCATGTTGTCATCGCACATTATAGCTTATGTAGAAGGGAATTCTGCAAATAGACAACATCAGTGACTTCCATTATATCCCCTGTGTCAAATGTAGGTTTAGAAATTTTATCTTAACATTCTGATGCTTCTGAACCTTCTTTATTAAATGTAGCTAGGTAAGGGTAGATTTCTTTCCAAAAAACTAGGTTGATTTTTTCAATTTATGAATAAAAATGTGTTCCATTCCTTTTAATTTCATAGCTTCCTTGTAAGGGTTGATGTCTTTGTTGATTATGTTTTGTTCCAATTAAATGATCAACAATTTTTCCACAAAGAAGATTTTATGATTAATGTCAATTTTTATCTCTTAAAAGGATCCTTCCCAGCCATTGGGGTGGAGGCGTTTTGCCCCAGCTTCCTGAGGGCAGGGTTTTTAAATAGCATCCAGGCCCCGCATCCAGTGCCAGGGGGAGGATCTTTGCCCCCCAGGATTCCTGCTGGTAGGTATTTCAGGTGAAGTTTTCTGCCGCCACGTACAACAGGACTGTGCTCACAGTTGATGGACCCACAATGTGAAAATAAACATTTCTAAAGTGTGTTGTTGGAAAGAAATCCCAGTGACTTTTTTTAAATGCAGGAACCACATTTATGATGCCTAATGCTGTGAAAATTGTTTAAAGGAAGTGGAAGAAGGATCTGTAATCTGATCACTCAGTTAGCACAGTGCTGCCTCTTCCAGGAAAGATTTTATGTAAATACAACTAGCACTTCAGGCCCCAGAGTTTAACTCAAGGATAAAACAAGGTTGAAGTAAAGCCACTTTGCCACTTAGAATGTGCTAGAAAAGAGAATTAAAAACTGAGGGTTATTAACAGAAAGAGTAATTCCATATCTGGATGAGTTTATAGAGATTTAATTAAAGTTCCATTTCACTAAAGAAACATGATTTGAAGAAAAGCCAGAAAGTAGCAAATTTGGAAGAAATTTGTGAGAAAGAAAATTAATACAGTTTTCTCTAAAAATATCAATCTGATCACAGCCATATTTTATGAGAGAAACAAAATATTGGATATTGAGCATTTAAAAATACAATTTCACAATTTAGTAAGTCACTGTGTGGATTATCCGTGGCATTATTATAATCACAAATTGTTTTCTCCTTGTCATTTTGTGAATATTCAGCCGGCTTCCTCCCTTAGACCTGAAGCATGCAAATCCACTTTATATTTTATATGTATCTTAGGAAAATGGAGTTAGGATACTGATTCTTGGAATTTTTAAATCATAATTCTTGTGTTTTATCACAATTAGTAATTATGCTACAAATTATGTTGATGACACCAATATTTTCAGGAGGGCTGACGCAGCCAGCAATAAAATGAGAACATTTGAAAAGCCTGGGAAATCCAATAAAAGCAAAATCCCATCATGCACATTTCTTACTCTTCTTATCAAATTATACCATCAAAGCCTAAAATTATTGCACTGACATTTTTCCTTTTCCTTTCAATTACCCTTGCCTCCTTAATTAAAACACAAAAAAGTAACAAACCATACATATGTTCCAGTGTCGTTTGGTTTTATCGTTGGATAATTACTGACGCGGTCAGTGGCTTTGTGGCCAACAATGCCAACTGACAGAGGAGAAACCAAACTTGTGTGAATTCAAAATTAGTGATTTTAATTCTAATGAGTGTTATGCCACTTTTTTTCTCCCTAGAAACAAAAATGATATCAATTGCGCAGGAATCTTGTTGTCGTTGGTGGTGGTGGTGGTTGTCGTCGTGGTGGTGTTGCAAAAGATTGGAAATAATCTGTATAAGCTAAGCTCTCAGAGTTGACTGCAAATATAAAAATGTAGCTTTCATATATATCATTAATATCCTAGTGATTGGAATTGAGGAGATAAATGGATGATTTGTAGTTTAATGGCTTAATCTTTAACTCTTAATGAGAAATCTTGGTAGATTTAGGTATGTTTGGCAGAAATGACATTACACAGTTTGGTAGTGACTTGAATTATTTAACATCACTGGTGAAAAAAAAATAACCCTTGTCATTTAGCCACTGAGAGTGATAGAAGCAAGATGCTGTTTCTGTAACACTTACAGAAGCAACTTTCCAGAGGGGGATCTGAAGGAACGCTCTAGCACTCTGTTCTTCTAGGCTTCAAGCCAAATTTGCCTCCAGCTTTCATAGGAGAGAAAACTCAGTTCAGTTTTCATGACTTACATACAAATCAGGTGTAACAAAATTGCTTCATAAAAAATTTATAGGTCTCAACGTGTTCCTGTGCCCTCACCCTGAAATTAACTCGGTCCCTTTTCCCAGCTTCTCTCACGTTGGTAAGTGGTCCCTGGGCACTCTCTCTGGTTCTTTCCAGTAATGACGGCTACTATTTCAAATGTAATTCTTATCCTCTTCCATTCAACCATAGCTTATTTCCCAAGAATTTCCCTTATAATTTTATGTAAAGAGGAATGAAACATCAGTCATGAGAAGTTTTTATTGTTTCATGATTTTAAAAAAGCCGTGAACCTCCTTTGCCATCTAGTAGCTGAAGTGGTGACGCTTCAGGGTTCGGACGGCAGTTTGAGCGCAGAGAGCCTTCCTGCCTCGCCCGGCGCCGTGGCGCTTTCAACAGTTGGCTGCAGGTTGATGCCCACAGGCAGCAGTTAATTTGCTTCCTAGCAATCGATTAAATGTTACAGTACTTTGAGGGTCTCTTAAGACATTTGCTGTGTCTTTCAAGGAATCACAAAACCTGTTCTAATGATGGTGCTAATTTAGTTTCCAGTTACTTATCTTAATCAAATTCAAATGAGATACATGATGATGTCTTGTATAAAACAGTTTCTTTGCATTCACGTCACACTGTGCTATCAAGGAACAATATTTTTACAGTACTTATTTTTGCACTAACTGCAATAATAAGAGAATTGTCGAATTATGAGACCCAGAAAGCAGACAAGCCTCAAATCAGTATTTATGTAACAGTTGTCAACTGTTGTTATGACCTTTCTCATTTCTAGAAAGGTCATAATAACAGGTTATTATTCTTAGTTTCAAATCAGAAAAACACCAGGAAGTAATTGGCTGAACACTGAATACCAAGTGTATTCATATATTTAATGCAGGACCTTTCACATAGCAGATGCCCCATAGAGTAAGAAAATGACAGGAGAAAGGAGAGAAGAGAGAAAAGGTGGGAAGAGAGGGGAGGGGAGCTGAAAAGAGAAGAGGATGGGGAAGAGAGGAGAAATTAGAATGACATAACTGAAGTTGTATTTTTTAAATCAGTCTTCCCCACTGTATTCCTCCCTATTGAAATCAAATTCTGCCTCCTCGAAAAGGATTAATATCCCCCTTCAAAATATGTTATCAAGTGTATATTCTAAAATGATAATAAGCTTGTTCTCTTTGCTCTGTCTAGTTATTTCTTTGATTTAATTCTGTAGTCAAGTGTATTTGAAAGTGAGATAGAACATATTATATGCCATACAGTATTGATTATACATAGGGTCTTAGACTGGTGGTTCAGCTTACAACAGACTTTGCCTCTGCCCAAATCCTTTATATTTTTGGTTGTTTCATATGCTCACCATATACAAATAAAAGCAGAGTAATAAAGTCATTGAGAAGTGAAATTATGCAATGGCAATGATGGTGTAATACGTGGAAGTTTCACTGAATCAGTCTTCTCTGTCGCTTCACTGCAACAGCTCTCTGATATCATGAGAAATCTTAAACTTACTTTAGATCCAAACATTACAATGTGTCTTAAAAACTAGGCTTATTTATAAAATATAAAGGTATATTCATTATCTGGCAATTACTCAGAAAATGATATCTTAAGTTGGGTATGATTAGATCAATAAAATTCCCACTTACATTTTTCCGGCAGTTTTCTGTTGCTGTGGGAGACTTGATCACATTTTTCACTAACGAAGTAACTCATATGAATAGATTAGATTCTAGACCAAACTCACATGCATGCTTTACACTAACAAGCTCTGTTGAGTACAAGCCAAGTCTGTGAAAGAGAAAACAGGAAACAGGCAGCCTGTGGGATTTAGAAACAGACAAATTCTAAAGAAGGTCCACGTTGGAGGTCTCCCCAGTCCTTGCTTTGTGGTGGTTCCTGGGAGCTCCCTGGTTGTCTGAGGGAATGCTCTTCTGAAACACCATCTCGCTTTGTCTGCCTGAGCTTTAAATACAATCCTGAGTATCTAACACCTCTTTTGACATTTTTATCTGAGCCTCTCTTCATTGAATGCCATGTGTCAGGTCCAAAGGAAATGGCAAAGATGGACGAGCAGCTGTCTTCACCTTCTTGCTTTGTCAGTCCCGTGGACTCCATCTCTGCTTACTCTGAATCAAATATCAGGAGAAATATGAACACTCGAGGACTCAAAAACCAGATTTGCAATTACACAGTATATAATTAATAATCCTGTTGAATGTTATCTATGTTTTTACACTTTAGAAAGAGACTCAAAGGAGCCTTATACCCAGATAGCCAGACCTCTTCATATCCTCATTGCCATCCCCTGACTAGTGACATTAGGAGATGAATTCACAAGCCCATCTTCTGTAGGCCAACAACAGATCCAACTAGATCATTCCCATAACAAAGGTCTCACAGTGCTGAGCCAAGATAAAATGTCCTTAAGGTCCACTAACAATGAGTATCAACATTCTCCCTTCCATACTTTATGTGCAATCCTATCTTTTATGGAGTCAGGGCAAATATTGCATGCACTATTATCCAGCCGAAAGAATTTTTTCTTTATTCAGAAGGCATGTAGTTTAGATGTTTAGGAATAAGCCAGGAATTATAAAAAGGTTGAAAGTGCAGAGGCTCGCAGATCTGGTGAATGTAATGTTACTGGGTTTTGACGCATTCTGAAAAAGTCAGTAACTTTGTTTTAGATCCTCAATTTGATATTTCAAAGTTAATCGCTTTCGACAAAACAATTTCTATTGGCTATAGTTCTTCTGAGGATGATTATTCTTTTTTATATTTTTCAGTAGTATATATGACAATTTGCCTTATTTTATCTTTTAATGAAATATTATTGTAATAAATATACACAAAAGATAAGAGACGGTGGTTTACTTTTTAAGTAAGAGGGCTGCAGGGAAAATACAGCTCTTGTCCAATTGAAGGTGTATATTTTACACATTTCTGTGTATGAGAATGTTGTCCGTTGCCCTGAGCAAGGCATGTGGGCAGGCGGGAGTGAGTATGTGTACCTACTTAAACCAAAAGCCAATTATAAAGGAATAGGAACACTGGATTCACTGTGCAAAGTAAAATCCTCAATACGTGATTCAAAATGTAAACTGTGGTAAAAAGGAAAGCCTTCACCTGGAGTCCTGCCTCCTGGTTTCTCTATTCCTGGTCCTTCGTGTGACTTCAGGCCCCCATGGGCCTATTCCGTGCCCATCTGCACAGTTCCCCCCAGAGAGCTCTCCTCCTGGGAAGCCTGTGCCGCTG